TGTGGTTGCTAACCCAGATCCCTCTGCAGCTTCCCTGGAGCCCCTTCAGCTCCTGCAAGGTGCTCTGAGCTCTCCACACAACCTTCTCTTCTCCAGGCTCAACAGCCCCAACTCCCTCAGCCTGTCCTCATGGGGGAGATGCTCCAGTGCTCTTATCAACTTCATGGTCTCCTCTGGACTTACTCCAACAGTTCCATGTCCTTCTCATGTTGAGAGCACCAGAACTGCACACAGTTCATACCCTCCTCCTCCCTGCCTCTAGTTTTGGCATATTTCTGGTCAGCCATGCCCTTGCCAAGAAGGGTTTCCCCTGCTGTGGCCAGCCTGGCTCAGCTGCTCACTGTGCTGATGGTGACAGCAGCTCCCATCCCACTCACCACTCTGCCCCAACCCAAACCCTGGGAGCTGGCACCACTGCAGCATTAGCACCAGAAACGCTTCAACCATCAGCATCAGCCTCAGGAGGGAGAACACCTCAGAGCCAGCAAGAATCTTGCCCCCTGGCCAGGGAGCTGTGGTTGGATGCTCCCCACAGGTCCCAGAGCAGCCAGTCCATGTGCCTGTGCCCACAGAGGAGAGATCTGGCCAGGTGCCCGAGGGGTGACGCACAGCACTGGGCTGCACGCCCTGTGGGAGCAGCACCCAACCCCTGGCAGCACCAGGGCCCTTTGTCCACGCTGCTTCCCTGACGTCTTTGGGCACCCCCTGGGGCTGTGGATGATGGTGCTCTCGTGTCCTCCCTCACCAGCCATGAGCTCACAGCCAGTGCTGCTGTGGGGATTTGGCCCTGGGGGTGCCCACCCTGCAAGCAGCACCTTCTGCCTCCCTGGCAGCTGCAAACTGGATTTGGCACATGGAGGCAACTTCGTGCGCCGGCAGCAGCTTGGTGCTGTGAGAATAGACCTGCTCTTCAGGCAGACTTACATCAGCAGCTGAACACAGCTAGAGTGTGGGAGTAGCACGGTACCTGCCATGAACAATGCGTGGGGGCCATCGCTGATCATAGAATCATGGAATTTTAGGGGTTGGAATGGATCTTAGAGACCATCCAGCCCCAACCCCTGCCCTGGGCAGGGACACCTCCCACCAGAGCAGGTTGCTCAAGGCTCAGCCAACCTGGCTGTGAACACTGCCAGGGTTGGGGCAGCCACAGCCCCCCTGGGCAACCTGGGACAGTGTCTCACCACCCAAATTCACATCAACTCTACATAAAATATGGCTGTAACTCCCACAGCAGTGACCCTAAAAGTGCCCTTTCATTTTCCAGAGGCTTTTCCCATCAGCCTTTCTGTTCCTCTCTCTTTTCCTGTGCATCTGAGCTGGAACAACAAGGTTGAACCCCAAGCAGCATGAGCACCTGTAGCCCCCCAGCCCACCAGGTGCTGTGCTGCCCCACTGACCTCAGCAAACCTGACAGCAAACCTTTGGTCACCAACAAGCTCAGTTTGGTTGCTTTATTTCATTTCACTTTGCAAGGTACAAAACAAAAGCCTGGGATGAAGCCAGTGTACGTCACCCTGCCCAGCGTCCTCGCTGGCTTGTGGTGGCTGCAGTCAGCCTTCAGCTGCCCTTCCTGAGTGGGATGGGGCAGGCGTGGGGCAGCACCAGGGCTGTCCCCCCCCCCTACTCACTGGTTATAGTAGTAATCCTGGCCATACACATCGTAGCCATGCCCTTTGTAGTAACCATACTCATCCTCGTAGGCCCTGTAGCTGTCCCCGCGGGCGTACTCGTCCTGCTCCTCGTACCTGCCCTCGGTGGTGCCCTCGTCCCCCCGGCCGTGGTCCCTGGCTGTCACATCATACTCCCACAGCTCCCCAGCTGTGGTGGCATCTGTGGTGGCGTCCGTGGGTCCCTCATCTCCCATAGTGGTTGCCTGGGTCAGCCCCTCTTCATTGGTGGTGCTGGCGATGGTGGTGGCTTCAGTTTCTTCCTCTTCCTCTTCTTCCTCCTCTTCTTCCTCCTCCTCTTCCTCCTCCTCCTCAGCTGCACCAGTGCCCTCCTCAGCCACCGCAGTGCCGTTGCCATGAGGTCCATCTGCCCTCTCAGTGGTGTTGGTGCTTGTGCCATTCATGCCATTCTCGTTCTCATCTACTTCTTCTTCCTCCTCTTCCTCCTCCTCATTCTCATCGCTGTCTTCATCTTCAGAGTCTCCCCCCTTGCTGGCAGTGCCATGCTTGATCCCTTTCAGAGTCCCTTGGCAGCCCTTGCCCTGGCAGAGGAAAACCAGCACAGCATTAGTTCATGGACTCATAGAATCATAGAATTTTAGGGGTTGGAATGGAGCTTAGAGATGATCCAGCCCCAACCCCTGCCCTGGGCAGGGACACCTCCCACCAGAGCAGGTTGCTCAAGGCTTCATCCAACTTGGCTTTGAACACCTTGTGTGTCAGGAGGCTGCAGCTCCATGTGCCAAGGGGCAGGCACAGGCACAGGCACAGCTGAGCACCCTCCACACCTTGCATGGCAGGACTGTCTTTTTGGGGAACCCCTTCCAACCTCAGGGTGATGCCTAGAGCTTGGTCCAGATGTATCTTGCACAGCAGTCCCCCAAGCAGGAACAAGGGGGTGCAGGACATCCCACGGGTGCAAGCAAACATGCAGTGAACACATCCCTGCCCCTGGTGCTCCCTCCAGCTCCCCAAACACACCTGCTGGGGAGATGCAATGTCTTCTCCCAGCCCACCCTGGCTGAGCTCAGGGGCTGCTCCAGCAGGGTGACCTCCTGCCTTGGTGCCAGCATGGAACAGCTCCTGCAGGGACAGGGAGAGAACGGGGCAGGGGTCAGCAGGAGGAGGGGAGCACAGCCCTCCCAGCAGCCAGGGGGGCACACGGCATCCCCACACAGGTTTGGGCATGGCTCTGAGTCTCTGCTTTCCCACGGGTCTGGCTGAAGTGGAGCCTGCAGCAGGGCCGTTGGAGCTGTGCAATTACGTGGTGGTGGCTGGAGTTGGGTGTTCCCGTTCTGGCTACACATTTTGCTTAACAAAGCATCTCAAGGTTTGCTTTTGAAGTTACCTCTGGCAGTTTCCAGTAAACACAGAAAGCCACAGGCACAGTGCACACTGCATGTCTTGTGGAGATGGCTAGTGGGAATGGGATGGCTCTGAGCCAGGGGTGAGCCTGAACCCCACGGGCAATCAGCACTGAGTGTCAGAGACCACACAGCAGAGTGAGGCTCTTGGCAGGGTGCACAGCACTGTGCCCTGCTAAAACAGGCAAGGACTAACCCAATGCAAGCAGAGCCTGGAGAAACCACTGAGGAACTGGTAGAGCAGCTCACCCAGTCCTCTGCCTTGGAGGAGGAGCTCCTTGCCACCACCAAATGAACCCAGCCATGGTGGGAGGTCAGTGCCATCTCTACCCTGGACAACTTCTGCTGCTCACATGCCAAGTCCAGAGAGACATAGCCTGACATTGGGCCAACTCAGACCTTAAAATATGTGTGCATCTGATGCCAGAGAAAATTCAGGCAGTTTTCCTCTCCAATGGGAGAGCCAGCAGATTGCACAGTGTAGCCAGCTGTGCTGATGGGAGTGATGCTCCCCACCTAGCAGCTGATAAATTGGTGCTCTTTACATACCTAGAACTGACCCTGGGGCCTTTCAGCATGATTTCTCTTGCTGACCACCCCATGCAGTGAAGACATACAGCATCCCTGCCCAGGAACTACTCTGGTGCCCTCCAAACAAAAGGGGCAGCCCCAAACAGCAGCTACATTCCTGCACACCACTTAATTTCTTCCTCAGGAATGAAATTCCCTCATTGGCTGCCCCATCCCACTGCTCAGTTATCCCTAAAGACTGCATTGGTGGAGGAGAGAAACAGGCAGAAAGGGACAAATTGCAGGGAGGTGGTGGGGCTGGCAGAGGTGCCTGGGGGGACAGGGGACACCCCAGCCCCAGCCAGGCCTCCAAAGGAGGTTTTAAGAGCAGATGCCTTGATGAAAACAAAAGAAAAGAAGTTGTGATCAGACCTGACACACACTTCCAAGCACACCAGCTCCTTGTTTCAGAGCACCTGTGTGCCTGATACCACTGGATTATTTTTGAGCATCTGCAGCACAAGAGACTTATAATCCCTGGCATTTCATTTTGGACCTGAGTGACTCTCACAAATGCAGAGGTGCCTGCCCAAGCTCAGATTGATTCAGCAGACAGGACCAGTTTACCACACAGACTGGCACAAATGTGTTTCCCAATAGAGCACCAGTTTGTGTCATGCAGAGCATAACTGCATTTTTCATTGACATTTTGTCAGCACTATGGGGACAGCACACCCTGAAAGAGCAAGGTAAGAGGAGTCCCTAACAGCACCTTTGTCCTTGTGTGAACCTCCCTCCTCCTGCCCTTTGGCCTGTCCTGCTGCTTTCTGAGCCACTGAAAATGGAAACCCAGAGAGTTTGTCTCAGGGTTGTTTGGTGCAAAAAAAAAAAAAAAAAAAGAAGGAATAAAATTGACCAAAAAAGCCCAACAGAAAAAGCCCCAGAGTAGAAAATCCAGTTGCATCCAGAGCACAAGGCTGTGGGCGGTCAGCGGCCACAAACGCTGATGAGCAGAGACTACAAAACCAAAGAAAGCTCCCAAATTCCCGTATTTGTTGAGCAGGCTGCTGGTTTGTCATACTCACCCCCCCTTCCTCCTCCTCCTCTGAGCCATCCCCCTCTTCCTCCGATGAGTCACTGCCCTAAGAAGAGGGAAAACCAAGTGGTGGGTGGGTGAGTTCCCACTGGTGCACCAGCCTGTGCCCAGCCCTGCCGGCCGGTGCAGACAGGGAGCAGACCATGCCCCTGTCTCATTTGGAACAACATCTCTGCACTTGGTATCAGTGAAGCACTGGTGACCCCTCCAGACACTCACCTGGTGCCGTCGCTGCGGGGGATGCATATAGACGTATCTGTACAGGTAATATCGATGCCTGTTCTTGAACACCTGTGGGGAGAAGAAGGGGGTAAAACCCATCAGTGTGGGGGGTTAGGAGCAGGAGTGACCTAAATGTGCTGTTCCTCCAGACCAGCACCTTGTGGGACTGGGCACACAGCCCGAGGGCAGACCCTACCGCATTTTCTTCTGAGTCCTCCAGCTTGGCTCGCCGCAACCAGCTCTTCACCTGGGGAAAAGGGTGGTTGGCACCAGCTCCACACCAGCCCCAGCAAGGCCAGGTGTTCCCCCCACTGCCTGGCACTCACCGAGAAGGCACACGCCATCCCCACCAGGCAGAAGAAGACCAGGGCAATCCTCATGGCTGTTTCTCTGGGAACAGTGATGTATGTTGAGGACTTGTTTCTCAGCTGAAAAGCACCACCATTACCTCAAGCCATCCATGGGTCTGTGTCCACAGGGGTGAGCAGGGAGAAGAAAGGCTGACCTCCAGCCACCTCTTCCACGGCCATGCAGGGACACAAGTGGCCACGAGCTGCCCCGGCCAGGGAGTGAAACAAGTGGCCACAAGGTTCCCTAGCCAGGCAATGAAAGAAGTGGCCATGAGCTTCTCTGACCATGCAATGAAACAACTGGCCATGAGGTTGTCTGGCCATGCAGGGAAACAAGTGGCCACGAGGTTCTCTGACCATGCAATGAAACAAGTGGCTGTGAGGTTCTCTGGCCATGCAGGGAAACAAGCCCTCCACAGACCCAAATCCTCCTACTTTGTTTGACAGGATACATTTTGGGTTTCGAAAAAGCCACAAAAGACCAGGGAAGTGAGTGTCACCATGTAGCCCCATTGCTTTCCCAGAGCAGCACTACCCACTCTTCCTTCCCCGTTGCAGTGGAGGGAAAGGAGAAAGCCAAGCCCCAGTGGAGATGTGAGAGAGGGAGCACTGCCCACTGCAGCCACCCTCCCACAGCCCTGAGACCTGCTCCTGCCCAGGGAGCAATGCTCCCGGGAATTACACCACAGAGAGGCTAACCTCACTGAGGGAAAATAAAGAAGCAAACAAATAAATTATTAGATTTGGCTTCTCCAGCCTGCCATAGACAAAAATAGCAGTGGGAAGGCACCGCTGCAAGGAGCCACCCTGTTGGCATATCTGGGGGAGGCTTGGCTCTGGGCAGGTCTGAGCTGCACCCCCTAAGCATCAAAATCCAGCTCCATCCAGGAGCACACCTGATCCCTCCTGTAGCATCCCACCCAGGGAGGAAGTCAGTCAGGCCCACTAACCTGCCTTTAACCTCCTCTTTCTCTGTCTAAACCCACCATCAGCTGTGCTTGGGGGAGTTGTTATTACATTTATCTGTGCTTGAACTGACCCTATCTTCATTTAACTCAGGCTAGAAAACAAGAGACCATGAGCTTCTCTGGCCAGGGAGTGAACCAAGTGGTCACAAGGTTCTCTGGCTATGCAGGGAAACAAGTGGCCACAAGGTTCCCTGGCCATGCAGTGAAGCTCTGGATGCTCATGCCCTCCACTCAAGCCCTTCACGAAGCTAAAGACTAAGGCTGAAATGCAGCATCCAGCCCTGCCAGCGAGCTGAGCCCTCTCACCCCTGTGCAAAAAGCAGCCAGCAAAGCACAACCCAAGTGGGAAAAAAGCAGCATCAAGCTTACCCTGCTGCGGCACTGACAGCTCCCCACGGAGTCAGCCGGCACAGATTTCCTCCTGCCGTGCCCTGCTGGGATATAAGCTCTGGTTTTGCCCCCCCCAGGGCAGTCACCGCCCTGCCCAGATGACGCCAGCCCTGCAGCATGCTCCAGAACACCCCCAAAACTTCACTGCTGGCACATTTGGAGCACAAACATAGTGCTCCGTGCAGCTGCCAAACCTGGGGAGGTTTGCACTGCACCACTTAATTGAGGGTCTGGGCTGGGAGGAATGGGCAGGAGGGGATAATAACACTCTGGGTTTCAATTCAAATAAATATTGGGAAATCTGTTTCTGGGGGGGGTTCATGTCCCTTTTTGGGAAATTCGGTCACTGTTGTTTCAAGTAGAGAAGACCAACCTCAAACGTTTGGCTCCACAGGCACTTGGGCAGAGCTGTGAGACAAAAAAGGCTAAACCCAAACAAATCTCACTCCAGGGTGTCTGCAGAGGCCTTGGTAGGGCAGGGGAAGGAAAGAGGACTCAGACACAGGTGGCACAGGTTCCCCTTTGAGAGCTAGTTCTACCACAGTGATGCTGCAAAATGCATGTCAAGAGAGGTGATTCTGTCCCTCTGCTCTGCTCTGGTGACACCCACCTGGAATACTGCACACAGTTCTGGTGTCCTTGACATGAGAAGGACATGAACTGTTGGAGCAAGACCAGTGGAAGCCACCAAGCTGCTAAGAGGATTGGAGCATCTCCCCTGTGAGGACAGGCTGAGGGAGTTGGGTTGGGG